GTACTAAGAAATCCTTCTGCATTCCAGAACCTCTCTCATTAAGTGACATTGTTATATTAACCTTTAAATTATATGACAATACACGATAACAGACTAAGATCAACAGAAACATGCAAGCAATGAGGAATAGAAATTAACTATGAAAGAACGTGGAGGTTTTCAGAGTTCCGAAGCGCTATTTTCAAGAAAAAATCGTATTTCCAACGGTTATATAGCACCGATCCTGAAAAATAATGGGAGTCCGTTCCTGCAAAGGTAGAAACAAATCGAGTGGTGCAGAACGGGAATCAAGTGGCGATGTAAGAGAGCCGTGATATCTCACATTCGGTGTAATGTTTGTCATCTTGCCAAAACCAGTCCGAGGATATCGAAAAAAATTCGGTATCAACGCCGAAATGGTCACTTCCGGATGGTTCGCTAGGGAGCAGTAAAACGTTGGCACGACTTTTTTTCAAAACATCACAGCAGTAGAATTTGCTCCTACTAGCTGTCCCTTCCCTCTGGATAATCTGATTCATTGCAAGAGAATTCTGCCAGAAAAAACGAAAGGCCTTAAGCAGATCCAAGTCAAAAAAGTTCACATGAGAATACGACTTATAAGTCATATTCCGGCCGTGTCATGACTGAAATGTTGTAAGTCAAGTTCAAGTCCATATCATTGCCTCTTGCACCGGATGAAGATCTTAAAATAACAAATTGTGAACGGCTATCGTGACAATCGGGCCAGTCCTCTAAATCAACCAGTTGAATTTATTTGGGCAGGACTGCACTAACCATCCGATTGCAATACAAACTCTCGTCTTTATGCTGATAAGAATTATCGCGAAATAAAGCACACGTGCATTGCCTTCCTAAGATTACTGGGCAGTTGAGTAAATAGTTTTCAAGATAGTTGCGCGTATGGCTCAAACGAAGCTTCGTTATTCCTTAGACTATTTTTACTAGGTTGGATGGGCATTGCTTTGCACGGCTAACAGGCACTTTGATAACGAACTACCCTCCGCAGATCATCAAGCTGAGCGCTTCCACACTCATCATTCATTATGTGCATGAAAATCCTTTACGAAGCTTCTGGAAACTCGTGCCATGTACAGCTTTTTTACACTCACACCGCCCTCCCCCTCACCCCCTTAGCACAATGCAAGCCTGGATATTGCCTGGCGATGTACGGACTCAAGCTGAACTTCAACCACAGATCGAATTCATCTCGGACCCGACTTGAATAAGTCATCAGTTCTTTTACCAGAATTATATACCAAACTGATCTTACACCCCCGCTCAAGCGCCTTCAAACATCTCGGTCGGCAAATTCGCGTCCGACGCACGAGCTTGAGCTCTGCCTGTATCGAAAAACCCCCCTCGTGTAGCGCCGCTTTTCCAATTAACCGCTCGACGACAGACGGTTTTTTGCGATCAAGCAAGCTCAAAGCGACTGGATCTAAGATCTACAATAGCGTCGCCCGACCCGCCGCCATTTACGGAGTAGTGTGCTTTGGTTTGGTTCGGTGTGGTTCCCATCTCATCGACTTTGAATCACCGTTGGCCGTTACCTAAAAGTTAGATACGGATCGCGGTTTCTTGCGCGAATTGACGAGGAGAGCGGTGAGAGTCGGATCTAGACTTTTTACCTTGATGCCAGGAAAGCGGTCTATAAGGTCTTCCAGACAAACGAATGGGTTATAGTTGCGGCGAAACTAGAAACTAACTTGTCTCCATCTGATCGAACTCACAGTATTGATAACAAAGTGCGTCTAACCGATGCCAGAAATACGTGACACTCCGCTTTCCGGTGTAGACAAATGCTTTAAGAATAAGCCAGACATGAACCACAATCACCATGGGGGTTCGGATCAATGTCCATATAATGCCTAAGGGCAAGGAAAAGGCATTCTACCTTCACATTCAAAACTTAAATAATCACAGCTTAGAATTTCAACCGAACGCTTCCACCTGTAAATTGAAGGCAAATCCTCTATCGTAAATCGTAGTGATCTTTTGGTATGACACTGACTTCACAACAACTCTGCAAGAGTAACATACGCTATTTTGCCTTCTCCTAAAGTTCAAATAATAGTGCTCATCAGTTTTTTGCACAGGAGAAAGATAAAACAAGAAAACATAACCACTTGATAATGAGCTCTAACAAACTGCTTTTGAACTGCCTCTGCTTATTTGCCATACTTGAAACTCCTTAGCGATCCATCATCCTTATATTTCGCATATAACAATAGTCATGAATAAGGTGAAATTTGAAAAGATATTTATAGCTATACCAATGACGGGCAGCCAGTAGATTTCAGTAGTTTCACCAGTCGCTCTCTGTATAATAGAACTCACGCATGCAAATGGTCAATTAAAGGCAGCGGTTACGCTAGGTTTAAATGTGGTTTGGAGGGGACGAGGGGGTCCTCAATAGTACATCAGTGGCGAAAAAAGCAAAGAAATCCGTCAAAAATAAGCAAAATAGTGCCCCTTTGATTGCCCTTTCATTTTCGATCATGGATGAGCGACGGTAAAGACTGAGGTTGTTCGGACGTGTTAACCCCGATAGCTGCCATCATGCCAACAAGCATAGTGTTTCGATTGATAAGGCATAACATGGGCAAGATGGAAGATACAGCCGCTAGATGGGAAAAGATCATCCAAAATGAAAAGCCAACAGCAATCAGTCCATCCAGATCATCAACAAAACCAGTGGGCGGGGCGGCGCATGGGGCGGAAGGGCGCAATGGTCCTGCTCAGCAACCACAGCACTGTTCGCAGTGGAAGCGCCACACATCGCTTCCTTGGCGGCCTGCTAATTGCTCTGTGGGGAGCAGGTTCTCCGCAGATGTGAAAATTCCTTTTCCGTACCTACTTCCTTTAAGCAAAAAGTCTCAACCAACATCCTATAGATAGAGATACCACACATACTCGATAGTTCGATGTCTCTGTTAACTTTCTCGTGGAAAGAGTGTCCGATGAATTCATAAAAACCCTCAGTAGGTTTGCAGCAGACAAAAGAAGCAATTCCAAAGATAAAGCCCCAGATAAGTACGCATGCCGCCACTGCAGCAATTAACAGGGGTTGTTCGAAGTACCTCAGCATACTCGGTCTGGAAAAGCTTTATACACCTGAGTTCATCGGTCGGTCTGGTTAGGTCTGAGGGACTTGAATGGAAGATTACAGGCGTCAATTTTTGCTTGCTGGACTCTGGGACGAACTTGCAGGTATGAGCAACACAGTTACATCTTTCAGTAAAGAGAACAGCAGAATGTCTTTCTCACCGAAATGAGCATTCCATGTCATTCTAATTACACGTACATCATATTCCGGCGTGAGGTTTATCTGTAATGAGGACTGAACTTCATCCTTCTCCACTGATTGAAGCAGCAAACCCAGATGAGGTCGTGTCGAAGAAATTCTTCTGATGAGTGAGAGTAGCCCATAATATCACAGATGCGTTGCCCCCGCATCGAAAGTACGCTATATTGGTGCTGGGGTTCTACGAAGTATTTTTTTTAATTTAGATTTCCTCTCCCTTCTTTTCTCCTCCACTTCCACCAGTTGATAGCTGATGAGTGCAATAAGAAAGCCATTCCAAAATTTGATGCCGCAAACCTGCAGCTCCTAAATTCTCTTAGCGTTTGATTGTCCCATCAGCTTCCTTTTCACCAGATCTTATGTACAGATAGCATTACCAGACAGCCTACAGATAGCCTTATCGCAGAAGGATATACCTGCAGATCTACGAACCAACACACTACGGCGTACTTTTGTATAACAGAAGCATACATATTGTTATTTATATGTAATGCGCTTTGATGAAAACATGACTAACTTGCACAAAACCGCGTATCTATAGATGAAATGCACTGCTAGGAGAGCAGCATTAATACCGTACATGGCGAGATACGAGTACAACATTATTGATCTCCATGGATATAAGGCTTAGAAAGAACCCGCTGCTGTATAACATATAGGCATTCTTATGGAAGAAAGAAGCCTGAATCAGGAAAGGCAGAATGCAAACGCTGCTAGTTCATGAAGATAATTCTGAAAACGCTCCTCTAGCACTTCACCTCCTTTCTTGTTGAACGCTTTTCTACCAAGCATTTCACATCTGGCTTACATGATTTTACAACAGAACAGCCGTACCAGACAACTTGTTGAGGCTTGGAGAAGCAAAAGAGTTTAAATTCCAGAGCAAGTTGCGTAGGATACTGCTCAGCAACATCTATATACACATTTGCTTTTGCCAAGTGTCGTTGTCAACCTAAGGTAAGTCGCTCCAAAAAGTTTACCAAGACGTCCAGTTTAAAACAGTACCAATCTCCATCAGATGCCACCTGTGCTTACAAAAAATGTAATGCTTGTTAGACGAAAAGAACGACCTGTTTCGTACCCTATAGAAAAAATTGAAACTCCTACCGGAGCGCTGATAAATCCTAGTAAAGCAAAAGTTATATCACTTATGGCGAAGCAGGTCATCAAATGTTTATAGTTGCCAATATTCTGTCGTGGTTTGGCTTGAATGGTGAAAATGAAAAGTGAATTCATTGTTGCAGATAAGAATGAAGATCAACATCGATGTGATCCTATGGTATTGGTCATCATCCATCTGCACAAAAGGATTTGAAAGCTGATACCTACTAACTTAAAACTGCATTGGTATTAAGACTTCTACTTCAAGGGAAAATATTCACTGGAATTCGAGTGTACTCGTAAATGAAGGTGTAGCTTTTCAGCAATGTACAGAAGAGATGGTTTCAATTACAACTCGATCCTATTTGCAGTTATAGCGCTCTCGAAATAGCCTCATAAAACGGGAATACAAACGCAAAATGTAGCAAATGAGAGAATGGGATTGAT